TTCACTTTTTTTATTTAACTATATGTTGTAATAAAGCGATAGAGGAAAAGGGATTAGTCTATTGTAATTTGGTCTCTCAAAAAACGAACTCGAATGATACATGATGAAATCATTTTTATAAATGAAAATTTGGATGTCGCGTGATACGCGAGATCGCGCGTTACACAAGGATATACGCTACATACACTTTAATTGATAAGTAATGGAATACTATATTTGGTGTGTATAAAAGTTTTCAGTGTTTTCATTAAACAAAACAGTTTTCTACTATATTCAGTTTTTAGTTCCCTAAAAGGGGAATGTTGTACGTAAATAATGTAAAAAGGTATATTACTTAATTTAGCAAGAAATTAAACATTTTATTTCATTAATATATAATGCTATATCGCAGATTTCAGAAAGAAAACAAACAAGACCGATATATATATATATATATATATATATATATATATATATATATATATATATATATAAAACTAAACTATAAGACTTAAAAAGAGACTGTTAGACCAACACAAGGAATGTTAAAAGATTCATGTTAAAAAGATAAAAAAACAAATGAAAACTACAGACAAAAGTTCATTTTCTCCATCAAGACATTCATTTCTGTAGTTTACTGCTACCAGCAAGAAGAAATATTTCTTCTCCCGATGATGGCCATTTTGGCTGAAACTAGTCGAGGAATCTAAATGAAATAATAATTAAAAAAAAAACAAAAACGAAAGAATATTAATCTACAACCCAGTGTGTCTGAAGATTTTAATTTTTAACTTTTTAATATTTTTTTATTGTTCAATATATATATATATATATATATATATATATATATATATATATATATATATATATATATATATCAACAAATATATGTATCAAACAACAATGTTACAAGTGACATAGACATTAAGATTTGTGTTTGTGTGTGAACGTAAAGATTTTGTATATTGGTGAAAGTACGTACGTACGTGTATGTGTGTTTCATGCCGTTTTCCCACAAGTGGGCGAAAACACGAATCTCTACGAGAGATCACATTTTTGAAATGTGTCCGCTGAAATGCAAAGTGAAAAAGAGAACGAGGCAATAACTCGCCTAGTATTTATAGTGTAGGGAGAGCGAACCCTAGTGATCATTTAGAGAATTAAGGAGGAGCTAACAACGACAAGTTCTATAAAATGACTGCAGTTCGACTAAGTTGCCTAGTTTTCTCGGAGCAAACACTATGTGTAGGATATTGTGGTTGTTCAGTAAACATTGGTTAGTTTTGGTTCCAAATGATTTGAAAGTCTGTTTAACACCAGAGACTTTTTTCAAAATATAATAATTCTTATTTTCTAAACGTTTTCAAATTATTATCATTGGTTAGAGAGTTTTTACAAATGCAATTCTTACTAATTTTATGTCAGGGTTCCTCGTAAATCGATAAAATGTTTTGAACAATTGATTACAAAAATGAAATTGACTCATAAAGTTGCTCTCAGGATGGGATGTTGCGAATGGAATAAATTAATTTCTAAAATTATTTAAGACAATAATTTCAATGTTGCTTGTCCTACGTTTTCAAGTTTACTGTCAAATGACACTGAAATAATTCGCTCATTTTTGAAGAAACTTAAAAACAAAAAGAACTGAAAGCTGTTCATATCCTGATGCCAAATTAAACAATATTTGTTATATATTCGTGTTCAGTCACATTAAAATGCTCATAATAAATTCTCCGTCTGTCTTAAACTTTCGGCGGGTGAATTTGCTTATGTATATATGTACAGACGTATATGCATATATAAATTGACATGTGCATAACTTAATTATATCTGCTTCTGTAATATAATGCAAACGCAAGTACACGTGCAGAAACATCTAAGTAACTTTGAAGTTAAACCTTCGGATAATATTTTTCCCTATTACCCCTACCCTAAGCTGAACAATAAAATCCTAAAATTGGATGCAAACAAAAGCAAAATATGATAATTATAATATATTATTGAATTTTTGGAAATTATTTAATGATAAATAAACTATATTTTTAGTCCTTATTTTTAATAGTAAAGTAATATTTTTAGGATTGTCAGTGTATTAATGAATGTTTATTGAAGGCTGCTTTAATTTCTTGTTTTTCAACAGCAGGAAGAGTGCATACCGAAATGTTCTGCCCTTTGAAGGAATTTTCTTTTACCTGTATTTAATATCTGTCTATATTTCTGAGATGAGGTATTATGTACACTATTTAAATTATTCTAACTATTGTCCTCATCTTTGTCGCCATATTTATTACAACGTTTCGGCGTTGTACGGTCCGGACTTCTTCAGGTGGTTGGAATGTCGAATTGAATCCTTTATTTCGCACACTGGGTAGACTGTTCTAGTTCGACATGCCATGTTTAATGGATGCCACATGACAGTTATCTCCTGTTAATTCCCTTCTGCAAGTTTTCCACTGCTTTAACCAGGTATTGAACACACACCCTTTGGGCACTGTCACTGGATCTAACTAACGCCTTTATCCACGGTGCCAGTGAAAGTGAATGAAAACTGAGTATAGGGTGGATTTAGGAAAGGACAAACAGGTTTTAGGAAGACAGAATATGGCAATTGATGTTGCCTTTAAAATTTTGAAGATTGTTGTTATCAGGGAAGCATGTGAACGGAATGAAATCTCGCAGGCATGAAGTACGAGAAAGGAAACATTTGGAGTAGAAGTGGCGGTTGCATTTAACTATTTCAACAGTAAAAGGTTGGGACCTAAATGAAAATCTAGTAGAACCTTTACGTTAATGCAACCGGAGCACCAGGGACAAAAGCTTATCAGAGCAGTTGCTATGAAAAAGATAGAGTGAAGCCACGCCTCCTTGGTGAGAAATTGACTGAACTGCCAAGTCAAGATCAATTATAATACAGATCTTTGTTTGAGGAGCCTCGAGATGAATAGCAGGTGCACCAAGCTAAATATGGCAGCAGTATGGACGAATGATATATTTTTAAATGTGCAAAATGGATTCTGACAAGAAATTTAGATTTGAAATTTGATTATCTTACTGTCAGCGAAGCGAGACGTACCAAAAATAGTGATTTTACAAACGCAATCATCTGCCTTAAATATTTTGGCAGACACTCTAGATAAATGAAAGGAGTTTCTTTATTTGTTGTCTGTTGTCACGTGTTTGAAATTTGCCAATTTCATTTTTTTTTCTTTGGTACTTGCTTTGGACAGCTTTTAATCGATTTTCAATAATCTCTTCTAAGAGCCTCCTAATCTAAGTTGGTGTTGTATTCCATAGGAGGTTTCAGTCATTCATTGTCGCGTCACGGCTTCTCAAGCTGTCACGCATGATCGATATCCGGAGATATTTGACACCATTCTATCGATATCATTTGAAAGCTACACTCTTCTATATGCTCTTCTGTGGGCCATGTCTTAACGAGGACTTTCTTCGAAGCCCCACCCCCGGATGGCGTTACATGATCACAAACAAAAAAACTGTACAAATAAGGACATTAAGCAACAGCAACAACTAAAATGGATAGCACATATGACTCGAAGAGAAAATAATGATATATAAAAACATTGACATTCAACGCGCCTTAAAATAAAAAGTTAGCAAGGAAACCTCCGTCAATGAGAAGATGAATTTCTAGATGTCCCATTTACTCAAAAAATTGTTTAAAGCGAAATTTGTTATGAATTTCAACCGTGAGTAGCACCGGTTGCTCGGTCAATTAATGTCGAATATTTCATTATATGGAACAGATAATATTATTAATATGATTGCCATCTCTCTTGTTTCAATATTTTTTTTTTTGAATTTCAAATTCTGCGAGCTGTCTTTTCTCGTTATGTGTTCTGGTACTGCAACTCTTTTTTCTTATTCTAAGGATTTGTGTGCTTCTTGTTTGGTTGTTCCTTAAAATGTCCTCGTTACTCACAGGTGAAATCCATAGTATTTTCAGTTTCCTTCTATAGAACTACATCTCTGTTGCTTAAATTGTTCTATTCATATGTGAGGCAGTTGTTCAGCATTTGCTGTCACAAATAAGAATTGTTATTCCAAATAATTTCAAGATTATTTTCATTATTTTAACGAAATTTTGCCTGTGATAAGCAAATTATACTCGTTCACAAACTGAATATATGTATAATATACAGATCGATTTAAACATTATTCAACATAGTATAAATCGGCTCTATTTAGACATTATTCAAACTATTATAAATCGGATCTATTTAGACATTATTCATACTAGTACAAATGGGATCTATTTAAACATTATTCAAACTATTATAGTGATTTTCCAAACATAGCTTAGATGTGGCACAAGGCCGAAAGTATGGGTCACCCAGTGAAGATCGAACTCACTACTCAGTCGTAATTGTTATAGCGAATCATGCTTTCTCCCGATTATACCGCCTTAAGGTGACCAGTTCAAACTATTATATATCGGTATTCTTATTGTCCTGCGAAAAATAAAGTTCCAATATTCAAAGAACGCAATAAAAAATTAATATAATAATACTCAATATCCACAAGTCAGATATATGCTTACGTGTCACTACATAAGTAATAACTTTGATTTATTTATTACAGATTTATTTATTATTACATATGTAATAAATTTGATTAATTTGCAGAAATAAATGAAAAATATGCGTGGAGCACAATACCACCTTTTGTTTTGGCAAATGTTCATTGCTACGATCATTTTTTACGGCTTATCAACTTTTTGTATGTTAGTTAATGCCGAAATATATATTTTATGTTGTAAGAATAATTATTTTGTTTTTTCGTGTAAATATAATATTAAAAATTTTATTGGAATACTAATAAATTTCATTTAAAATGTTTGACATTTAACCCATAGATCGGGGAAGAAGATGTGGGTTAATACCATTACCAAGAGTATATGAATGCAAGTGAATGTAATGAACCCGACTGAATTTCGAACTAGGCTCTCCAACTTCTCATTCTTAACCGTTATTCAGTACACAATACGCACATCCAATGACACAGCACCTGGTATTCTAAAGCGGTCACCCATATAGGTACTGACCAGGCTCGATGTTGCTTAACTTCGGTGATCGGGTGTGAAGCGGTGTTTCCACACGTAATCAGAAGCAAAATGCTATTCCTGTTTATTAGTCAATAATATTATCTGTTTATTTTCAAGGCAATCTTGCTTCTGTGAGAATCGCGAGGGAACGCGGCCAGTGACCCACATCCCTGTCATCACGACGGCATTGTTTAACAACAAGTTAAGTATTCTCAGATACACTGGCTTGTCTGTAAACGTTCAGAAAGCTTCGAGGTGTATCAATGGCTGCAACTTGTTGTTTATATATATATATATATCTGCCTTTGGTAAGACTTCAATCTCACTCCTCATCTTACACACTTTTCATGTTTGATGTTTTCATGCCTGACGCTTATTCATATCAAACTAATAAAATTAAGAATTCTTTGTTTTAAACCCTACCGTCATTTCCCCAACATACGCCTCTGGCGTCTTAGAGCAACATAATCAAAATGGAGGATTTACTTTCGGAGTGTTGCCGGAATCTCCATTTTTTTTACGAGGTGTGAACGTTTTTCAAAAAATGGCTCATGGAACATTTGTTCTGTAAAAAATATTTGGTGGACTCATGTGAGTCCGGAGAAACACAATGTATAGAAATATGGAATTTAAACAAACATAATGCATGTATTCATGAAAATAAATTATAAATATGTGTACCTAGTTGAAAGGAAAGGAAAATACATTAAAAATAGTTATCAAAAGTGTGCTTGCTTGTGTGTTTGCTGAGTATGTGTTATATACACGAGTGTGTATGTGCCAAAGGAGTTAACCCACCGTAGTGCTCCTCGTCATACGAAAATATATACTTTATACCGTAATCGTTTTTATAATTACTTGCTGAAATTTACTCTCGGGATAATATCACTGATCTTGGAGCGGCAAACAGGCATCATGTTTGTTCTTATTGTTTTCCGTTATTGCTTCAGATACTTTTTCCATCCGTTTCTTTCTAGGAAATCCATGACTTGTTCTTATTAATATTATTTATTTATTGCTGATCATGTTTTGTCTGCACCACCCGGCCCAGTGATTGAACTCACAATTATTTTGCCACCAAATTCATGAACCAACACATTAATAAATTATGCTATTTTCATCTTTATAATAAGTTAGCAATAGTGTAGAAAATTCCCTGGTAACAGAAATATCACTAATCTTTGAGCGGTAAATCGATTGTTATTTTCCCAAGAAAATTTCGAGAATTTAATGGCGAAAGGAGCAGCAAATTTATCTGAAAATCACAAAAATGTTCTTTATCTTTGGGGGAAAACTTTATTAAGAAAGTGGCAGCAATTCATTGGGACTAAAAATTCTTTGTCTGACACAATAAATCACCATCTTTTCTCTCTACATGGCAACCACCCCCTGTTAGATCAAACAATTACAGGAAAAAATCGTAAGCGAATATAATTGTTATCATTGTCACATGATGCACAGTTTTACTCGTCTATAATATTTTAAGGTTGTTTTTATTTTATTTTCTTTCCTTTCATCTTGTTTTCTTTATTTTCTTTTATTACTTTATTTTTATTGAAAGTTACATTGTACCGTTTATGCGAACCAATCTTTGTGCAAATCTAAGTAACACGTATTCATTTCCTATGAGAAGTAACCAAGCATTTTATCTATTACGGGAACAACAGATTTCCTAAAACGATTCGTAATACAAACGAATTAAAAATTAAATAGTGAAAATTAAAAATCAGAAATTCAAATAAAAATAAGGATAAAAGTGTAAATTTAAATAAGAAATATAAAAATATAAAAAATTAATTTAAAAAAAAAATTTCAAATTCAAAAGTTAAGTTAAAAAATAACAAAAATGAATCTGGATCAACGTATTTGAAATTTATTTTTATGCCTGCATGTAATCGTCAATTCATTTCTCTTGTTTAATAAGGGTTATTTAAGTGTTTTAAGATAACCAGCTTTTTAAGAAGATATAAATTGCATTTATTTCCTTTACCGTTATAAGCCTAATCCCTAGATTCTAAGTTCATTGATGGTGAGATGCCATCATTCTTTAACTGCCAGAAATATTTGAAGGGAGTAGTGTTGTTTTTGTATTTTAAATTAATTAATGTCATTTTATGATGGTAAAACGAAATTTCCAAGGATTTTCATTGAACCAAAATAAAATTTAACATATTTACCGGAATGAATGTTCACTCGGTATATAATATAATATATCGTTCATACATTGACCATTTAATGGACATATCGTAGTTTTTACGGCAGTTGCATTTATTTTTAGAAGTATTTACGTTGTTTTGTTGGAAATATGTTTCTTTAATATAATTTTGTTATGATGGGAGATGGATGAGTGTATATTATTAACGCAGCTATAGCTGATCTTAACATTGTTTTTATTTTTTTTAAACTTATTTTAGTGTTGGCGAATGGTTAAAGAGTTCTAAAACATTCTTCCGGTATTAGCTTTCACATTACGGTTAAAAGGTGCATTAAAACATATAATCTTGTATTTACCGTGTTTCTGCTTATTTCTACCATTTTTGTTTATTTCTAAATCATTTTATTTTATTTTATGATGGCTTGGTTCTAAAACTTGTATATATTTATCTTTAGACTTATCAAATATGTCCTTATTAGTGGAATTTCTGGATAACCTAACTTGGACAGATTTACGTAGTTTTAGGACTAATGCATCTATGGTTGTATATGTTTTTACAAAAACACTAATATATATATATATATATATATATATATATAATTATTTATTTAAAAATATGATTCCAAATCGCTACATAAGAGGTCTCATGTTTCAAAACAAGAGCCGAAAACTTCAATATAATCCTTTAAATTAAATTGAGTTGAAAGTAAAATGGGCTCTGTTCCATCTTCAAGCGAAATTTTTGTTGGAATAACGTATATCTGAAATTTACTTGTTTTAAAATTGAAATCAAAATCCCCATGGTAACAGCTATGGTGAATTGTCTAAAGTGGGTAGGCGAGTGTAGGGTGTTTATAATAAGTAGCGGTATAGAGATACTTTCAAGGTGTCAAGTCGGGGAAAGGTGGGGGTGTCAAAAATGAAACGGAAGATGTATTGGCCATTGTCTAGTTTGCTTGTCTATGGAGATTTATTTATTTATTTTATTTATTTTATTATGAAAGGGAATTGTGCATATAAAAAAGAAAAACTTTCGTAACGTTTGTTTTTTGACGACTTCATAAAGGGTTATCTTATATGTAAGGTATTTAAACTACTAATTTAGGCTATGGATTATGAAGAGTGTTATGTTGTATGCATGTTTGTAGTTAATTATTCCTACTATGAATCTGATGATTGGGCTATTTGTTAAACAAGTTATATAAATTTTTTTATCTAATAATTCAAACCAAAAATCTGATGATGCCTACAAAAAACCGTTAACTCATGTCTATTATTTAATAGATTATTATTATTTAGAAGTTTAATAATGTGCAATTTTTCATGGAGGCACAAAGGGCATGGGTCATCCCAAGCTTTACATATTGACCCATGCCCTTTGTGCCTCCAACAAACATTTCGCTTGAAGATGGAACGGAGCCCATTTTACTTTCAACTCAATTTAATTTAAAGGATTATATTGAAGTTTTCGGCTCTTGTTTTGAAACATGAGACCTCTTATGTAGCGATTTGGAATCATATTTTTAAATAAATAATTATATTTATGCTCTACTTTTGTATCGAGCACTATTTTTTAAAAATAATAACTAAAATACTAAGGGACTTTGGATTATTTACCTAACCAGTTCCTTCCTATTTTCTATATATTTTCACACACACACACACACACACACACATATATATATATATATATATATATATATATATAACTTAGAAAATATAGCATAGAAAAAATATATATATATATATATATATATATATATATATATATATATTCTATGCTTATGAGGAATAGATATGCAATATGCGACCTAAAACATTTGTAGATATAGACACATTGAACTCAGTACATCATGGTGTTTGTCATTTTCACAGCTCAAGAAATATTCAAAAAGGAAACTGATTGTCATCTACAAGGTTGGCTTTTAGATTCTCTCCCTTGCTATCTCTCTCTCTCTCTTTCTCTCTCTCCCCCCTTCTTTCTCTCTCTGAAGCAATCTACACAATTCTCTTCCAAAATATGTTACATAGAAAAAATAACGAACTCAAATTTGACGTTTACAAAAAGGCTACCAACAAAAATGACTTTGTCACTTTTTATTCACACCATCCTAATATGATTAAATCTGTTATAATTTGAGGTTTCTACCTAAGAGCATTAGGAATCCGCAGCACCCAATTCTGATACAACAAAACAAACACACATAGAAAACACATTCAAAAACCTCCATATACATATATATATATATATATATATATATATATGGTTTGAGAAATTATTGTTGATAAGAGTTCGTTTTCTGTACTTTAATTCTCTATAAAACAACGAGTCTAAAAAGAAAATCATTTTGCACGATAAATCATCTTTTTATATCCGTGTGAACATTTATAATTACGAAAAGATGAATATTTACTAGTGGTGTTTATATATGGAAGTGATAAAAATCTTAATCATCAGCATCTACAACAACATCCAGCAAAAGGTTTTCTGTTTTTACGAGAGAGTGTGGTGCATGTGTGGCTAATGTAAAAAGTAATATGTTGTTTATTGATTGTTAGTGTTAGAGATACAATCTCTCAAAATGGGTAAGAATTCATAAACAGCATTATTTTTACACTGGGTAGTATGTTTGTGTTCGTTTTTCCTTATCAAAGACTGGTAGTCGCGTAAGGCCTACAGACCAGATTCTTCTTAACAATTAATGTTTAACTTACAGCTTGGAATGGGGCGAGAAAAGAAGGCTTTATGCATTTTCAAACAGGAGGAATTAGTGCGAGCGTAATCATAATCTTCACTACAATTTCAGAGTCGTTATTCCTTACGCTACATGGGCATCATAAAAACAATAACTATATTAGGTAGATACTATTAATCTGCAGTCTAGTTCCGAAAGAATA